TATTATTGTGATAGCATTTTTCCTACTTGAGATTCATCGTTAAGGGCACTATGCAAAAGTCGATAGTGAAACTGTTCTTGGCACAGGTTGGCTGTAACTCATACACTGCAATTTCTAGTGCTGCTCTAGATCAGTGTCTTCAATTTAGCATGCATTAGCATGTGACTGGAGGGCTGGATAAAGAACACTGATGAGCTACACCTCCTGGTTGTTGGGGCTCATGATTTCCCATCTCCCCCAAGTTTCTAGATGAATATAATGTGTCTGTTTTGAGACCATCCCCTGAGAACGCAGCTCATGTCTTTGCTTTGTTTTTAGAAAATCTATGTGTGTGGAGTTTTTTTTGCTCATTCATATATTTCAACTCCTAATAAGATTTACCTTTCTGAACTCAAAGATATGGAAGAGTAAGCTGAAAATTATATTTTCATTAAAAATAGCAGTCTTGTTTAGCTAAATTAAGATTGATAATAAAACATGGTTTTGTTTCTTAAATAGGTCTTACATAATTGCAAGCTTACAGCAATCAATCAGTAAGTACTTGTCTATGCTGAAGAGTGTCAGAGTAAGTCTTTCCCAGTCCAAGTAAACTTTTAAAGTTGCAAAGACTATTGCTAAGCATATCAGTGGATGTAATATAAGACTTTCTTGTCTTAGATTTAACCTGTCCTAACCTTCCCCAAGCATATTATCAATGTGCTGTCCTCTTCTCCACTAGAATTCATTGGTATGTTCAATCCATAAAATTTAGCACAGAGGCTAGCTAAAACATTTTTCTGGGGCCAACAAGTACAAAATATGACACCTGCTTCCTAAATCTTGGATTCGCCCATGGCTTACTTATTGGACTACAGTTCACTGCTATTTGCTCTGGGTTCCTGAGGATGAACTCTGAATTATTTAAACTATTGCCTACATTGAAGTTGTGGAGATGACATATGGTGAGCATCAAATACCTTTAAGAATCTCATCTCCTCCCCCCATCCCAAAGATTCATTCAAAAGAGCAACAAAATGGCGTATATTCTTCTCCTGTTTATTTGTCCCAATAGTTTAAAAAAAGCAGTTTTATAGAACCATAATCTTCCCCAGAACAGATGGGCTGTACATTAGCATCGTGCTTTCAATTAAGTTACATTTCAAGAAGACGGTAAAGAAACTGAATGTAAAGACATCTCCAGCATCTATTTGTCATTTTTTTTTTAGTTTGATAACATTGATACAAAAAATAGTATTCTGATTAGCAGCTTGATTGGCAACCCATGTAACCCTAAATAGTTCTACAAACCCAGAGTGCACTTTTACAGACAATTACTTTTGGCAAAACTGTATATACAATTTTGAACAAATAAATACATAAATACAATCGCTCATATATAATGAAATACCTAAATGTCAATTATCATCAACAAGCATTTCTAGTAAATTACTTCTTTCATTCACAAGTTACTTTGTTGCTTATAAAAACTATCTTCACCTTTACAGAAGAATATGACATAATCAATTTCCCCATGGAAGCCACATATTAGGAAAGGTAGAAAACGAATCTCAGACACTATACATAAATATTCTATTATCTTTTGGTGAAGAAACTTGATTGAAAAATCCTTTTAGTCTTCTCTATAAAGAGTTTGTTTTCCTGTATCTGATCGCACAAGGATTTTGTTCTTGTGAATCTAATCCAAATCAGAAATTATCTCCATATTTCAATTCTAGTTATTTAAAACTACATTATTATGTATTAAAATTGCTCCAATGTAAGAAGACAAAAAGCCATGTAAAGTAGCCACCAAAGATAAAACTATTTTTTCAAAAAAAATTTCAAAGGCAACTTTATGAATACAGACACAGATTACTATTATGCATTGTTACCCAGTGCATAATGAGTAAATAGATGGGGGACAGAGATTTTGTAAAGATTGTCCAAAAGACTCCTGGTAGCATACTGCCATAATTATTGTTATTTATCTATATTTTTGCAGTGCTGGGGATCAAATTCAGTGCTTTTTATGGTAGGCAAGCACTCCACCACTGAACTGTATCTCCAACCCCAGATTGCTGCCTTATTATGAAACGTTATTTTATGTGGAAGAAATAAGAAGAATGGTTTGACATACAAGTTACAACAATAGTTTGGCCAACCTCATGTCAAAGAATCAACAAAGTAGAAAATTAGCACTTTTTTTTGATCACTTAAACATTTTTTTGACATTCAAAAAACAAAAGGGCAAACATGCGTAAGGCTATTGAAATACTGGACAAATGGCCCTGTCTTCACAATCTCCATGCAGAAGGAAATGTTATATAACAAGCGGATTCAAGCTTTACATACACCTGGGGAGAAGAAAAAAAATGCCCTTAAAATATATACATGTAGACTTTGATGACTATTTACATAGTTGTCACATGGATACTACCTAATCATAAAAAAAAGTTAGGAAATAGTTCTTTAAGACATATGATTTTTTGATTTTTGCTCCTTTTGAAGGTTAGGGTCGTATTCATACTCTATACACACATACAAAATAACTCATTGATGGACATATAGGGTGTTTATAATGTGCAATTCTTTGACACCACAGATGTCTTGACTGAGTATGGAGTCGCTGCAAGGCAGTAGTATGAGACTGAAACTTGATTCCTCCGTACAGTTGGGAGGTCAAAGAAGCCTGAAACTGTGAGATTTTCCCAGTGATTGGAGCTCACAGCAGCAGAAGATACAGGTAGGAGGGTGACACCTTATGCTGCTCCATCTCTTCCCAAGCCACCTAACACTGTTCTGTAACCAAACTCATTAGTTTTACAGACCATAAGACCAAGATGGGTTAAGGGATAGAAGTCTTGTTTCATATTGGGTACTTTGGGTTTGAGATGAGAGATCTAGTGTTTCCAAGAAAGAAGCTCTGACTTCCATTTGTTCATTTTCTCCCTGATTTTGGTATCAATTCTACAGGGCCTTGCAGAGGTTAGGTTAACAAAAAATGAATAAATGAAAAGGTGCACACTTTCAGCAGTGTATCTGTCTTTGAATGAGAACATGGAGTTTTCTAATGGATGATAAATAGGCAAGGTGTAAATTTGCTGAAGGCTTAATTATCTTCTAACAGAGGTGGACTAGCTCTACCTGTCCTCACAGTTCTTGAGGGTAATTCAAATCAAAGGTTTCCTGAGATCTACGTTGTCAGGATGCATTTTGAAAACATGTGGTTCACTTTCTGTAATATCCTCAAGCCAGGCTCCTACCCAAAGAAAGGAAGCTGTCTTTATTTTCTACACCTGCGGATGTCTAAGCATCACACTGAATTGACAACTTATTCATTGAAAACAGAAGAAATAGCAGAGAAATCAAAGCTTTCCCAGACAAGTAATTCACAGCCATGGAACAGTCCAATCTGGGGAAAGTATGTACACTGGCAGTTCATAATGGATCACTATATTGGTCGGTATTTATATTAAGAGGATGTTACTGCTACTACTGATGACCCTCATAAATACTGTAATCATTTTAACATCTAGCATAATGCATGATACATTTCATGGCATAGCACCTTTTAAACTAAGGATCTCAAAATACTTAGCAAATATTTGCTTCCACAGTACCTGTGAGGTAGGTGGTCCTTCCTTCCTTCCTTCCTTTCTTCCTTCCTTCCTTCCTTCCTTCCTTCCTTCCTTCCTTCCTTCCTTCCTTCCTTCCTTCTTTCCTTCCTTCTTTCCTTCCTTTCTTCCTTCCTTCCTTTCTTCCTTCCTTCCTTCCTTCCTTCTTTCCTTCCTTCCTACCTTTCCTTGTTTCTTTCTTTTAATAGTCATTTCACAAGTGAGCATACAGAAGTCCATCAAAATTCAGGGACATGCTCATAAGATCCTCTAAGTCTGGTGGCATCACTAGGGGCTGAATCCAGGGTTTTCTCCTCCTTTCTTCCCATAATGCCTCATAACAGCACTGCTACTAAAGCTACTTGGATATTTAGATGTTAGAAAGTATGTCTGTCAAAACTAGGGCCAAATCTTTCAATAATACTGCTGGCCATTAAAGATTTTTCTCCTCTGCTTAGCAAATGTATGGGAGAGGTATCTTATGCTATTCTAAGCTTCTGTTAATTATAATGTAAATGTATATCTAACTTTGCATCTTCTCAGTGTGATGTAGTCTTCTGGGGCCTCCTACTTGTTTTTCTACACCTGGAGACATGAACCTGCCTGATTCAGAAAAACTGTGGAATGCACTTAGTGACATTACATGGAAGGAAGCAGGTCAGATCGTTACATTTGGCAGGGTCTCCTTGGAGGCACCATGTAATGTTTGTTCTGAAAGAGCAAAAAATATTGTTATTTTAAGTAGCATTTTATATACATTCCACTTGCTGGCTAGGTTACATCCTTGAATGAGCAAGCAGAGTTGTATTCCAAACATCCAGAATATTTGATTCTGAAGCTTATATTTTCATCTATTTCACTGCAGTCTCCCTGCCAGTGTGAAGAAGTTCAATTCTTGGTGGAACCACAATTACTGTACGTATTATATGACACTATATGTAAAAATTTAATGTAACAATGACATACACAACATTCATAATCACTTTCAGTATGTCTTCCTCACTGTGCATTGTTTCTGAAACTTTTTTAAATAGAAGAGTTACTTGCTTACTTATTTTTTCAGAGGTGACATGAAGACATTACTGTGAGTTTTAATTTTCTGCATTTGATTTTTATCTCAGGATGCACAGCGGTCCTAGGAGTTGTTTGTCACTTTATTTTTTAGATAAATAGCAGTATTTTAGGACTGAGAATAGAACTGGCCCTTCTCACTCAATGTTTCTATGACCAGAGCCTAACAATTATAAATTGATAATCCAAGAGAGGAACTTCGAGTGGGAAGCAAAAATTTTACAAAACCCCTTCACTGGTTCATTTTCCCCAGTGACACCTGTAAAATCCCAACATCTTAGGCCACATTTCTTTAAAAAAAAAGGAAAGAAACATATATTTACATGGATAAAAATCCTAACATCTAAGATGTTTCTTGCTTGACATGTCATTCCAGATTCTGTGCATTTCTTCTGGAGAGATCTGATGCACGGTGATAACACGACGGTACCTACACAAACTGTAGGCCATTTTCCAATGATTGAAGCCACTGTTCTGGAAGGGATGTATGCCTAATTTTCGAAGACACAATCCCACATACACATCTTCTAGGTGAAGCAGCCTGGTGTGGAGTGAGGTCTTGTAAATAAGTTCAGCCACATCGGCTGAAAAGATATACCCAGTCCCCGAACAGAATGGCGGGTAGTTGCTGTCAGGGTACAAATCCCTGGGCATATACCACTTACTGCGAACATCTCGGATGGGCCCCCCATTGATGACATAGCCAGTAAAGTACCTTCTTCTTGGCTTGGTAGAAGGTTTCAGGAGTTTATAAATAAGGTTATCCATGTTTACAAAAATGTCACTGTCTGTTTTCATGATGTACTTGGCTTTTGAACAGAAAGTGGCCACCCACCTCATGCCCATTAATGTTTTCAGGGTGAGGTTGTGGTAGGAATCAATGAAGTCCTCCACAATGATATCATGAAAGATCTGGCTCTCTTGTTCCACCATCTGATTCAGGACAGGATCTGAGTTCTTGCCCAGGAGGAAGAGTGTGGCTATCTTGATCCCTTTAAAGTTATTCTCATCCCCCCAGGTCTCCCGGATGGCCTGGCGGGCATCAAATTCCTTGTGAGTGGTGCTAATGAGGATCACAAGGAAAGGAATGTTTTTCTCACATTTGGTGGGCTCATTTATAAGAAATTCAAAAGAATGTGGGTTTATAGGTCGAGTTCTTATGTTGCCAAAGGTAAAGTTTTTCCTAGCCACTGTGAGATGGCTGAATGGCTTGGAGCCCGTATAGGAAGAAGTTGGACGAGTTACGCTCAAATACCACAGAGCGCTGGCCCAGCACACAACGGTCAAAACATATAAACAGGAGACCTTTGAAGCCATTGTCCTGAGAGCACGTCTATTCCAGGGATTGAAGATTATACCTTCTCGGTACTAGTTTCAGTTGATCTTGCAAAGACAGCATATTACTCATAAATCTGAAAGTTGGATAGAGAAGAGTGGGCTGGGGATTGTCCATGGACCTTAGCAGCAGTCTGGCACCTCTGCATTCACTCTACTTTCTTCCAAATCTGATGAAAGGCTCCATGCCTCATAAATCTTCCTCTTAACTCTGCAAAAATCAATAAAATACAGTTTTTGTTCAGATCCACATAAGTCATTCTTGCATCCTTGAATAAGTATAATACAAGTGTAAGGATTACGAAAACAAATGTGATCATTAATTTCTGTAAGTCCTAAAACTGGGTGACATACTCCCTTTTCTTTTCCTTTTGACATATATTGCTAATTCATATTCATATCCAACAAACAAATAGGTTGACAACAAGCTCTGGATGAATAGGAAGTGAACTGAATACTCAAAAATGTTAAATAGTATTCCCATCTGAGCAGGGATCTTTGCAGTTAAATTAGACAAGAGTGGCCCACACGCATGGCCTCAGCTTTCTTTTTCATTTTTCCAAGTCTGAGTTTTTATTTGATTCTGAAGGAATCAATTTTCAAGGTTTATTTGCTTTCTCTAACTCTAAACTTGTTGATCACTACTGGAAAACCTTTGCTAACATAACAGGTACCTCTGTAGGCTCAAATGTAAAAGCAATTCCCATGGGTTCCCAACTTTGTGGCTCTCACAGCACAGCTAACAATTATGCTTATCTATGAGGCTTCATACTGGAGAAGATCTACACCCTTCAGCCATGGAAACCATCTCTCAAGTAATAGTCCAGACAGCTGGTGGCATTTATCTTGGAGTTGGTCTACATGATGTGTCTTTCAATGATTTTCAACAACTCACCCTTATCCTTTCTTGAAGAAATTACACTGGCCCCTATTAGTTCATTTTGCTTAGTTGCATTTGCCCATAGACCATACACAAATAGAATGAGAGCAATAATTATGGTCATCCATTCAATGAAAATATGGTAAAAGATTCAAAGTGAAGGTCAAATTAAAAACTTGTCCTTTAGAATACTAATCTTTTCTAGAACTTCTCATGCTTTCCAGAACTTTTAAACTTTATCCCAGTCAAATATATATGCTAGGTTACAAAGTCCAGTCATGTAAAATTTTCTTCTTTCCTAGTTAAAGAAGAAGGTAGTAGTAGTTTTAGAAGGCAGAGGTATTAGATAATAGCAATTTCAATGACGTTTCCTTCAAAGAAATCTATCTGCTTAAGGGCAGACTATGTTTAAGGAATATAACTGTGATTATGTTGAAAGTCATGCTTCTGTGCATGGAAAGACACAATGAGCAGCACAGAGACAAAGTACTTACTCTTGTCTAAGCAAAGAGTTAACTGACTATATGGTGCATATTAGACAAGCAATAGAAATGCTACTAAAGATAAGAGTTTGATGATACACTGAACTGTAAAGATTAATTTTATATATGTTGTATGGAGTGGTTGGTAATGGGAGAGAATAATTGGTTTACTCATTGAATAATATTAATTTGTGATTCAGATTTTCTTTGTCTAAGTGGTCTTAAATAGAAAACAAGAACAAGAGAAGAATACCTTAAAGGTCTTTTTAATCACTACCAGATGATTTGAGTTTCTGGGGAAGTTTTCTGTACAGGTAGATGGTATTAGGATGCAAAGATGAGGAGTTAATGGGTCAAAATGCTCATCAGTTCATGCTAGGTAAACATGCTACCAACAGCCACCTCCCAGCCTTTTTTCTTTTTAAATCTGTGTCTGTGTCAGTTTCACTAACTTTTTCCAGGCTGGCCCCAACCTCCCAATCTTACGGCTTCAGTCTACTGAGTAGGTGTGATTACAGGTGTGAGCCACCAAGCCCAAAAGGATCAATCCATTATTTTAAATTCCTATAACTGCTCTCAATGTTTCAAGTTATGCATTCAGGTAATTGAGTTTATAATACCGATTTTCTCCTGTTAGGGAAATCTTTTTCCTTCTTTGAAAACTCAAAGCAAAGTGACCATTTAAAAGTCAAAATAAAAATCTCAAACTAATAAAAGTCAGCTGGGAAGTTCTAGCTAGGGGAGGCACTGAATCTTCGGGTTGGTTCTTTTCAGTTTTACAGCTTTAAAAAAATCTTCTTTAACAGGCAAGTTAATGTATCAGTGAAATAGAAAATTGAACACTTAATGTTTGTCATTTCTTTTAGCAGCTTTGCCACAACCACAAGACAATGACAACGCATTAACTTGTCATGTGTTGAACACAAATCCCTCCAAATAGGAATATTCAACTAGAACACTTGAAGGATTTTCCCCCTGAGGGCCTTACTGTATTGTAGATTAGCTCATTCACACAACTCTCCAGTAAATATCCACCCTCACCTTTCAGGAAGTTAATGGGGCAGAATTTTCCATTTAAGAAGCACATGTTTCTCCTAGAAATGGTGAAGTGGATTGTCTGTTATTTTGAGTAATTTATTGAAAAAAAACAAAGTCTTGTCTAGCCAGAAGTAAGGCCTATGAGAAGGTGGGCAGTGATTGTGGTGATCTCTGCAAACTTGGGTATCTGTGTTCATTCTGGTACAGAAAGTGTGCTATTACTTATATGCAAAACTTGACTGGACTAAGGGGTGTCTAGACAACTGATAAAACCTTATTTGATGTGTGTCTGTGAGAATGTTTCTGGAAGAGATTAGCATGTGAATTGTTACAGTGAGGGGGAAAATTCTCCCTCACTAATACAGGTGGGTTTTGCCCAATCTGTTGAGAAGCTGAATTGAATAAAGAAGTAGAGGAAGAAGAGATTTATCTCTGCTTGGACTGAGACATCCCTTTTCTGGACACAAGCACTCTCAGATTCAGAATGGGATTTACACTATTGGTTCCTCTGACTGTCAGGACTGGATTTAGACTGGAACCATTCCACCAGCTTTTCTTGGCCTTAATGAAGAGCAAAGAACCTCCATAATCTCATGGGGGCAATCCCACCTAATAAAATCTGTCTGAATAGCTACATGTGCCTTATTTGTTCTGTGTCCCTGGGGAACTCTGATCAGTAGAGGCAGGTACAAGGCAACCTGTATTTCCAACATCTTGGGTTGTCACTTACACTGAATTGGCAGGACAATCATTTCAGCTTCCTTCACCTGGCTTTAGGGGTCTTGCCAAATGGTTTTCTCACACCCTCAGATTTCTGCAAGAATACAGTATCTTTAGGTTCTGCTTTCCCTTTGCATGAAACCTTCATTTGCTTGTCAATAATGCACCCAGCACGTACAAAGTGCTAGGCACTAGAGTGGTAAGACATGCATGTGGTATCTTACTTTCTAGGAGGGGGAGGTAAAAAAATATTAGTGTCCAGTAGTGCCCCAAAGCAAATCAGGTGACCTAATGGGACACAAACTGAATAAAGGTGCGTAGAGGAGAGTTGCTGCTTCAGATAAATTGGTCACTCTTTTAAAGAAGTGCCATCTTGGCAGAGAACAGCAAGCCTTGTTATTTCTGATTCAGACTTTGGCCCTTTTAGTTCATTTTTGTCTCCAGTAATTGGTTCTTTATTGCTCACACTTCACTGAGAACACCTTTCTAATTTTGGCCTCTGCCCTCCTTCAGCTCTTGGATCTTCTTGTCTGTCTCTCCTAGCTGCAGTCACTCTGGCCACTCCTATGGATGCCTCCACCATCTGGAGCCACAGAAGACCCACTATGACTTTGCAGTTCTGCAAACTGTGTAGCTGAACATCGATTTACTGCCTCACAGTTCTGACAAGTCTGAGAAAGTTTTGGAAGGATAAGTTCCTTCTGAAGGCTGTGAGAGAGAATCTGTTCTATGTTTCTCCCCTAGCTTCTAGTGGTTTGCTGTCACGTTTTTGGCATCCTGTAGCTACTGACTGTTTCAGCTGGATCTCTGCTTTTATCTGTATGTGGTGTTGTTCCTATGTGTTTATCCCATGTCTCACCTTCTCCTAATAAGGATAGCAGTCATATTGAATTATGACCCAACTTAATGACCTCATTTAAACTTCATTATCCCTGTAAAGATCAGTTTTCCAAATAATGTCACATTCTGAGGCCCAAGGGTTAAGACTTCAGTGTGTTTCTTGGATGAGACACATTTCAGCTTATGTCTTCTACTTTCTTTGGTAAAAGCAAAATGAAATACTTTGCTCTAGAGACTTTCCTTCTTCATATTTAAGTTTCCTGATTTGAGGTGGTATATGACCAGCTTTGATTTTAGTAAATCGACTGCCTCCCTTGCTTCCTTCCATGGCTGGCACTCTACCACTTGTGTCACACCTCCAACCTGTTATTTTTGTTGTTGAATATTTTGGAGATAGAGTTTCTGCCTGGGCTGGCTTTGAACCTTAGTCCTTTGGATCTCAGGCCCTGAGTAGATAGGATTACAGGTGTGAGCCACCAGTGTCTGATCAAGTTTGGTAAACTAACTTTCAAAGAGTGAAAAAAATTTATAATTATAATTCAAAGAAAAGTGAAATACAAATGTGAAAATGGACATAAAGGTTTATTTTCAATATTTTTTGTCAGTGTGGGGCTTGAACCCAGAGCCTACCCACTGTCCTTGAGCTCTTTTGCTCAAGGACAGTGCTCTACCACTTTGAGACACAGCTCTGCTTTCAGTTTTTGAGTGGCTAATTGGAGAGAAGAGTTTCATGGGGACTTTTCTGTCTGGGCTGGCTTCAAACTGTGATCCTCAGACCTCAGCCTCCGGAGTTGCTAGAATTACAGGCGTGAACCACTGATATCCAGCTTCATTTTAGATTTTTAAATAGCTAGTCCACTTTCAGGCCATATGAAGAATATGAATAGCCCTAAGTAGTTCTTACTTCCGCCACATTCTCTGTTAAAAACTTATATTAGTTGAGAAAGATAAGCCCAGACAGAAGGCCATTTCTAAACCAATAGATCCTGTGATACTGGCTTCTAATTTTCCTGTCCCATATACAATCTGTTTTTCTGTTACTCAGAGCTAATTTTGAATATTTATAGACTGCATGACACTGCAAAAATAGTTTTGACATAGAAGCTATATAAAATTAAAAATTATGAAGGAAAGTAAAGCAGCTGAAAGAGGCAAAGTCATTCAAAGAGAATTAAGACAGGCAAATAGTCAGAGAAAGAAAAATAAAAGGAAGGAAGA